TCCAGCCTCCGAACCAAAAAAAATAGAATTTCTTCAATGCGGTTAGGTCTGTTTAATCGATATTAGTCTGCACATACTATATAGGAACAAAAACTGCATCAAGTGCACACGCCTAATTTCAAACAATTCTGTCTATAAAAAAGTGGAGGGATATTATACTGCACCTGCACGTATCTTTGAGTGCATGTGCAGTACTGGCCTGTGTATTAGACCCCATACGCTGGTGCTTGGAACAGAAATTCCAATAGTAAATACCCGTAGAGATTTTTTTTTCATATGACAGCATAGTATACAAGACTTTTTATAACATCAAAGCTTAACTCTGTCTTCTCCTCTACCCCTCATTTCCAGCCCCCTGCCCCCTTTGACATTATTTTTGTTATTCTTAATACATACCTTTAGTCTCCAGTAGTCCAATCACATGACATCAGATGACCCCTTTATGTTCCTCCTGAGGTTGGAGGGGAGGGGTTGGATGCTATGGAAAACAGGCCATGTAATAGTAAAGAGCTGCTTTCTATAGCACTCTCCTATGAGTGCAGGATGACTTGATGACATGCCCTCAGGGGGCGAGCCCTTGATACCCTAGGCTCCCAGGAAGTGGGCAGAATGACACTGGGTGTCATTCAGCATGGAAGAAGACCATACCTGAATGACTAGAGCGAGGAGTCGGTAAGGGACAGCTCCAGGGAGAAGGTTAAAAAGAATGTAAAAAATAGAAAAAGCAGTAACAAATAATCCAAGTAACACTTCTGTGCAGCTAGCAACCTCCAATGACCGATAATACATTAACATGCTTCTCAGATGAGCCCCAAAAAGTCCTATTCAATATTTTATGGAAACCCCCACTTTCTAAAAGCAAGGGGACTAGGAACAACCCCATCACTGTGATCGGGCCTGGGGATCGATGGCTCACTTCGTTGTTGAAGTCGAAAAAGAAATATGTAGGTGTATATACAGTATATATGTAGGTATATCTATATAAATTTATATATAGATATACAGTATAGATAGATATCTATACATGTATATAGATATATATCTATATACATGTATAGATATCTATCTATTATTTAAGTTTTATACTATAGTATATTTATATATACAACTTATATAAACAACTGCATTGAACAAATGCAGTCTGGCCCAGCAGAGGGCTGTTATTATTTCACTTTGACGTCCAAAGCCGATACACTAGGCAGAGACCATTAAACCGGTAAACATACATAACATACTAAGCTAACAGGCAAAGTGTAACAAGGGAGAAATTGCAATTAAAATCTATAAAACTAATATAAAAGACACATTTGTATTAGAGGACTCGGACTTTGTTTATTAACAAGTTTTAAATATTTTACAACACAGAGCAATTTAGGTCATAACGGAAAGTGAATTAAAAATGTAATTTTCTGTTGCATATATATTAAAGGAGTATATTAAAACTGATCCGAAGAAAAGAAAACAAACAACAAAAAAGACACCGGCCATATGTTAAAGGAGTCCTGAACTGTTTCGATCCGATGAAAAATCTTTTCCTCCACATAGACAGCATAGGGTAATGTATATACCCCTATATGTGTATAAGATTATGGACAATGTTTATCCAGGGGTTATGGCAATATGGTGATATGTAAAAAACAAACTTTTTGTTTTCTCAAACAAAGATTTGAGAAATAAACTTGTTGTCTTAGATCTTAATAAGTGTCATTCTTCGTCCTGGAGCCTGGAGACTTTGTAGAGCTTTGGGTGGGATAAATCCTCCATCCCTAGATCCACATCGTACTTGGTAGCCAGACCTTGTTAATAGCCTCAGCTGTCCAGAGACCTTTATATATGTGAGCTGTCTGATACTTAGGTCACATTTTCTGCCTTGAGAAAGGGACCCTGCGTGGCCCCGAAACGTTGGCTCTTTTTGATTGTCGTGACACCATGGTCCAATAAAAAGGACTTATTTATTTTTAAATCTTTTGAGTGCTGGTGACCTATTTCTTCAACTGTCTGATACTTAGGGATCTTTCTCTCTCTGAAACGGAAACCTGCTGCTGGGCGAAAAGGCTGAGTGCTGACAGGACACTAAAGGGGTGCCTGTTTGTTATGGGGAACCCATTGGGGGGCACACTGTTAGCCTGGTACTGACCAGAGTTTAGTTAGTGGCTCAGATGAGCACGTTTTGCTTGGTTATGCCATCTTATATTAAACCTGTGTTTGTTTGCTGCCTTTCTAAACAGAAGTGTAGGACAGATCTGCTTGGACTGTTCCTGGGTGTCCCTATCTCATGTATGGTTTACCCCCACTAATACCAGTTGATCATGTCCCCCTTACAATATGGAGAGAGAGAGAGAGAGAGAGAGAGACTAGACAAACAGTGGCTGTTTATAAAGAATCAGTACTAGCCTGGGCCTAATTTTCACCAGTCTAGCACACAAGTTTTACAAAGGACATTTCCTTGTTTTCCTGGTCCTACCCTGACTTAGAATATTGTGATAATGTCTAAATTATATTTAATGAGATGACTATTCCTCATGATGGCAGGATAAAAATATGCAGGACATAATTAAACAGGGGAAAGATTCTTCTTTGTCTCTGCTACTTATAGGGCTGTGTCTATTGTGTCTTGAGGGAAATTCAGCCCTGGTAGTGGCATATGTAACATTCACTCAGATAGACACTGCACTAACAACCTCCATTTTCATAGTCTAACCTTAACTTTCCTGTTATAGCGGTTGTGCAGTGCATCTAAAAATGAATGTCCAATAAGCACCAGAGTTTAACCATAGTGCACCACGGAATCTCTACTCTATCTGACCTGGTCAGACATGGCTCCTCACTATATGTCTGCGAGAGGATGCTTGTGATTAGGGGGGTGACCAATATTCATCGATGCCAGCATAGAGCATTGCTGTAGGAGGATAGGAAAAACATTTCCAAGAGAAAAAATGTATTTGAGGACAAAACCTAGTTAA